CCTCCCAAGTCTCCTTGATATATTTCTTTTGGGAGACGAAAAATACCATCCTTTTTTTGCATGGCTTCAAAGCCATGGAAATAGGATGTACGCCCATAGTGTATCAATATGAATTCTTGGATATCTTGAATTTCTTCAACATATCCTTTGAATTTCTTGTGAAGAGCAAGTTATCAACATAAAGATAATAAATTAGAACTTCATTTTGGTTGGCATTAGCATATAATGCATGTTTGTATGGGCATTTTGTGAAACATGCTTCCCCAGGTAGTTGTCAATGGGAGCATTTCAAGCTCTTCCCCAGGTAGTTGTCAATGAGAGCATTTCAAGCTCTGAACCCTTACTAAATTATCAAAACTAAGAGGCTCATTATCGATATATATATGCAAATCATATATTGTTCTTCTATTTGTATTTGTTCATATTTTTATTCTAATCTAAACTTCTATAGAGGCTCATTACAATTGAGATTCAGGGTATTGATGCAGTAGTTATTGTTCAAGTTGTTGATAAACCAACCGCTTTGATTTCTTCTTGATGAATGTAACGGTGTATGTCAAAATGGTATAAGAGCTTCTCCTTTTCATTAATGTTGTTCAACTCCACCAATATCGACTTGGTGGTTTGGTTTTGTCTCTCCTAATGGAGTTTTTCCTTCAATTTCTAAATTAATAGCTCATCTTTGTCATGAAAGTTGACATCATAACCAATGTTTTATTTCTTTGTTAATAATATAGTTTTCGTGTCTTTGATTGTTCTATTTTTACTTCATAAAGATTTACTTCTTGCTATTTATCTGTGGTATCTTTGCCCCAAAACTCTTTATCACTCCTTTCTCCTTCAACAAACTCCTCATTACGCTGAGGATAGTTTGATTCTTTCTCTTTAAAACACCATGTTGAGGGCCATCACTCAAGGGAATAGATTCTTTGCTTTAATACCAATTTGTTTATGCTACATATGGCCGGAGGATGTGGTTGGCTTTTTTCTCTTGGCTAACACTATTGTAAATCTTCTTGTAGTTTTTATCTCTTAGTTCATTCTCTTTTTCTTCGTGCACATCCACACAAAGAACAAATGAGAGAGGAGGGGAGAGGAGAGAAATGATATAATAAGAAAAATCAAGACAGGTGAAGTTGTGGATGTTGGCCCTGAAGTAAACTCCTTAAAGCAGGGTGACAAGGTTGTCTCCCTCCTAAACATCATGGTAAGTGTTTTGAGAATTACTTTTTCCAATTTTATTTTGTGATGCTGTTTTTTCTTTGCTTTTACTGGGTAGTGACTTTGTGACCATCAAATTATCTCATGCTGAAATCTGGAATGAAAAATGGTCGATTGATCCCTTAATGTGTAAAACCTCTCCGGGTGACAAATTGGACATGTATGTGATCTTATATCGGCTATTTTTGGAGCCCTTTTTTCAATTTATGTATAGTCTGGAAATAATACAAATTTTTATTCTGACAATCCGACTGTAATGATGATTTGGAAATTATTCCAAATAGCAGAGTGCATTGAGTTGGAAACAATTTAGCGGCTAATTAGGCATGATTAGATTTTGCCATATTGTAGCTTTGTTTCAAATCTATAAATAGTGGTGTAAGGGTTGTTGTAGGCATGAGAAGAGAGCTAAATTGTAATTCCACTTTTTCTTCAATGTAGTGAAATCTTCATCCCCTCCTGTGGATGTAGGCATCTTCACCGAACCATGTAAATCATTATGTTCTTTGTGTTGATTTTGATTTGATTTCTTGATTGTTTCTGCTATTTGCACATGTAAAATCTAGAACCTCGAAATTGTAGACAAGAACAAAATTAAAACTATCATTAAAGAAAGTTTCTAGCTATTGACCCCTACACAAAAAAATACGTGAAAAGAGGGAAATTGGATGAGTTAAGTGATGATCGGTGGATGTGACGCATCACTTGAATAGCCAAATAATCTTTGATCGTCAAACGGACTTCGTCATTACGGCCGGAGTATTGAATTTGCTTAAAAGGAAGCCTCTTGTAGTCAAATCAGACGAAAACAGCCAAAATCGGCGACCGATACTTAAAATTTGCGTGCGACGCAGCCCAAATGATGTTTGCTAGCAAAACGAACTTCTTTGTTGCTTTCGGATCGTCGACAATACCCAAGAGCGATTAAATTTTGCTTGACAAAATTCGCCTGGGGAAATCGACGTGAATCCCAAGGTAAATGACACACGAATTTCGAGAAACATGAGTGCAAGTCATGGAACAACACTACCATTTCATCTCTGTCCGGTTTTTAAAAGTCGGTATTTATCAGCTTTAGCCAGTGATATAAAAAATTTTCAAGACATATAAAAAATTTTCAAGACAATCCAGATCAATTACTCTAATTACTCTACCAGCACAAAATTTTCTTAATAGCCATGGTGAGTGTTCCTCAGATGAGCACTCCTGCATAAGATGTCAATTGCCTGCTTATATTTGCTAATGCTGTTGTTACAATTACAGACTGCAGGAGGGCTAGCAGAGTATGCCGTCGCATCTACGAACCTCACAACCATCCTCCCTCCCACAATTCCTCCAGATGAAGCCGCTGGCCTGCCTGCCGCCGCCCTCACAGCCCTCCAAGCTCTTCGTTACGCCGGCGTCGAACGGGGACGTCCAAACCAACAACCCAAAAACATATTGATCACCGCCGCATCCGGCGGTGTTGGCCAATTTGCCACTCAGCTGGCAAAGCTAGCCAACCTCCATGTTACCGCCACTTGCGGGGCTCGCAACATTGACCTTGTCAGGAGCCTGGGCGCCGATGAGGTGCTGGACTACAAGACTCCAGAGGGTGCCAGTCTGACAAGCCCATCAGAGAAGAAGTATGATGCTGTGATCCATTGCGCAACCGGCATTTCCTGGTCAGCATTCGAGCCGAACCTTGCGGAGAAAGGGAAGGTGATAGATATAACTCCTACGATGAAGGTGATGATGGCTTCACTTTTGCAGAAACTTACCTTCTCTAAGAAGCAGATTGTGCCACTTTGGCTTTCGCCGGAAGGGAAGGACTTGAGCTTCATTGTGGGACTGGTTGGGGAAGGCAAGCTGAGAACGGTGATTGACTCGCGGTATCCATTGGAGAAGGCTGAGGAGGCCTGGGCGAAGAGCATGGCTGGGCATGCCACTGGGAAGATTATTGTTGAGATGAGATGAGAAGCAGCAGCTAGATGGCCTGTATGTTGCAGTGATGTTACTTCCAGAGTTGAATATTTGGTAAATAATGTTATGCTACTTTGTTTAAATTGTAAAACTTTGGTGAATTTCAATGTTTCAATTGGCTCCTTTACATGTACATAATTATTTGTATGTATTATTTTCTACATTGCATTTTACATTGCCTTGCTCCAGGTCAATCTCTCTCTCTCTCTCTCTCTCTCTCTCTCTATAGAAATATGTTGCCAAGTATAAGACCAGTTCTGAAAAGGCTTTATAGCAGGATAAGGTGGAAAAGAAGCCACAACATTAAAATATTGGGAGGTAGTCCTCTTTGGCTTGAGGACTTTACTACGTAAACATTGAAGGAACATCAGTCATATAGGCTTTAAAATAAAATTCAAATAAAAAGTCAAGAAATATATAAAAGTATTAATGTAAATTTTAATTAAAATTAAGCTTAATTAAAGATTGATGTTAAGGTTTCGTTTGACATTATTGTCTTCTCATGTTAATGTTATAGCTATTTGATAAAATTATATTAAGATCACGGTCTAAAGTGACCTAAATAGTTGGGACTATTTGGTGAAAAAAATATATTATAATATTAATGTGAGACGTTAGTTGATTGTACAGTTTTTAATTGATATTTTATGGAGTTCATACTAATATAATATAATATAATTTATTTATTTATTTATTTATTTTAACAAGCTATTTCAAGAATTGAACTTTTTCTTATAGTTATGAAGCAATTTAATGTTCTATTAAATATTTTAATGTTGAGAAGAGTAAGACTTTATTTGGAACAGTTTCAAACCATTATTTAAAAAAAAAAAAATTACTAAAAAGAACACTTTTACAAAATAATTAAAAAAACGTCTGAAACAAAGCCTAAATCTTAGATTAAATTTGTAAAAAAAGCTTAATTAACAGGACAAACCGAATACACTGGGCTATTTACACCCTTAACAGAGCTAAATTTACAAAACAACATAAAATTTCAGGGGCTCATCAGCTGGGCATAATACAGCTTGAATAAAATCAAACAACTAATTTTGCTTAAATTATGCAAAGCAGAGGATGTAAATGAATAATAATCGCTGTTTTTCTCTTTGCCCACAAACCAACCAACCATTTTTTTCCCTCTATTGTACATATTTCTATTTAGTAGAAAAGATTTACAGAAATACAAATCAAAATTGTGTGGTAACCCCAACCGGCAAAAGACCAATCCTGCCTTTTCCTCTACATGTTCTCTCATCAATCTGTAGATGAAAAAATAATTGTAAAATCTTCAACTTCGCTCCCATAAAAACTGCCAAAAATAGGTCTGAATCTATTTTATCTACTCCTCAATCAATCTTTTGGTCAACATGAATTTCAAAATTATTGAATTTATTTTGAGATAAAATTAGGTCAAGATATCCCACCAATTCAGATGAGTCTCAGAATTCTTAAATAAATCTATTCAAAATAAATTTAAAAGCTCTGAGATCCGGCCATTTTATAGGATATCATAATACACAAATTTTTCTTTAGCTTGGAATGAGAGCAATATAAATTTCAATTGGTTTCTTATATATTGCACTCATCTCAAAGCAAATTCAACAACTTTAAAACCGATCCGATCGATAATCCCTAATGGAGTCCAGGACAATATCACTAGTATGCCATTGCTAGCAATGAAGAATGCAGCAGCAAGGAAAAACAGAAATAACTGTATTTTCACATTGCCACATACCTTTGGGATCAGAATGGGACTACATAGGGCAGAGCAAGAACATCGGCGGATTCGATCCGTAAGGCCTTAGCCCAAACCTGGGGTGCACTTTGTTCACTCACAGCCTGTCTCTTAGGCTTCTGCTGAGAAGATTCACAGCGATTAAATAGCCATTCCACATCATCATTCGCCGACCATGGCTCCATTTTTGGTACGGCGTATATTTGGTCGAGATACTTCGAATCAGGGTGAGGCGATTTCGAAGAAACTTCGCCGTTCCCATCGGGCAACTGCTGAGACTTTGCAGAGCCATTTATCCTTTTATCCTTATTATCTAATAATATTATATCTGACTTTACTGGAAGGCCAGAAAAAGGTTGGGAGGATGAGGCCACCATCCTTGGTATCTTGCTAGGCCTTGCATCATTTTCTGTGAATCACAGGTCAAATGAAGCAGGAGTATAAACTACAAGAACCGTAGCAATAAATTTTTTTTTTTAAAGGAATAAGAAAATTTAACTCACCCTGTATAAAGCCATTGATCTTGATATTCTTCCTTTTATTACTGGTTTCATCAACACCTCTAATGCCAGCTGAGCTGTCTTTATGAGGGGCTAACGGCTTGCTATTAAGAGTGTCTATTTGATCCTTCTTCCCAAAGCTTCTAATTTTGTTATTTTCAATCATTGCAGGCTTCTCCAATATTTTCTCCTCCTCCTTACTATGCTTATTTTCATCCTTCCGTTTATTCTTCTTCGCCGCCGTATGTTCTTTATCCTCGAGTCCTTTCGGAACCTCATCTTTCTGGTTTCTATCCTTCTGTACTGGCTGAAAAATGGGGGTATTTCTTCTTTGCTCTGAAGTAATTGGTTGTTGGTTGACCCCACGTAGTGGGATAAAGGCTTGATGTTGTTGTTGTTGTCTACTGTTGGCTGAAGTAACTGGGTGTGGTAACATTCCGCCGCCTTTAAATCTTTCCTTTTCGATGCCATCCATTCTACTTTGAATGATAGAATTAGCCATAGGCTCAGTTTTGCTACGAAGGGAGGAGAGATTGTCCAGTGACAAGCCCAATACATCATTTTTTCCTTTAGTTGAAGCTGAATTTGAAGCCGCAACTGTTGCACCAAGTTTTCCTCTATTATTATTTGCAGGAGCAATAGAATTTGAAACCAATTTTTTTTCCTTCTCCATTCCAACTGTAGAGTATTCAGTTTTCCTATTAACCACCCCAGGAAAGCCTTCAATTGATCGAGAGATTCCATGATTTCGATTTTGATCAGTATTGATGCCAACATTGAATCTTTCATGCAATTTATTTTTTTCTTGATCCATGAAAGTTGCAGTGTTCCCAATTCTTCTCTGAGGAAAATTAGCAGCATTCTCAACAGGAAGGCTGCTGCCATCATTTCCTTGTGACGAACCAACATGCAAAGGGAACATCTTTTTATCAGTAGCTCTGTCCTTCTCCAGTGAAGGACGAGAAACAACAATTTGTTCAATTTTGTTATGAATAGAGCTTGTAATGCTCCCCACCATCGGATTTGCGGCTCCATCATCTCTAGTTCTCTTGCCCAACTCTTCTGCAAACTTTGAATCTTTACCTTCTTCTGCCTTCTGCAAGCTTTCTCGGTTGTGAGTACCCTCATTTTCTTTTCTATCCTCAGATGACCTTCCTTTGTCAACATCCTTATCTTTTTTCCTATCTTTGTGCTTTTCTTTTCTATCCTTCTTCTCCTTCCGCTTATCTTTGCTTCGATCTTTATCTTTTTTCTCTTTGCGCTCTCTCTTTTCTTTCTCCTTCTTCTCTTTTTTATGCTTCTTCTCTTTGCGTTTTTCCTGAAATAAAAAATGGAAACACATCAAGTTAAAAATATAAATGAAACATTGGTCACAGATGAGCTCTGGAATAAGAAAGAAGTTGAAGTGGTGTGGAAATCTAACCAAAAATAAAAATATATAGCAATATCAAACAAAGATAAATCCTATTACAAATACCACCCACAATCAAAACTTCTTTGTTTCTGGGACAGTCATATTTTTTTCTAGTCATTTTTTCTTGACATTTATACAGTTGACAAAACATTGATCACAAATTATAAAAGCAGCATACCTTCTTAGACTGAGTTGATTTCAAACAAAGTAATTTCGATTTGAATAAGAAAAACTCCTGTTTGACATTTGTAGAGTCACATTTTTTCTTGTTCATGCTGTTCCTTGGGAAAGTGCCCAAAAAGCCTAATTGTTTGGAGTTCTCCATTGAAAATAATAGGACATTCCAAGCAAGTAAGTATACATCTATCAGGTATTATAACTATTCATAAATAGACCTACCCTCAAATAGTTTAAATATTTTTGGATTTGCTTTGAGATTAGTGATATATATACATATATGTGTGTGTGTGAAGAATTTACATTGCACAAATCTCAGAAAAAATCCAATAAATCTGTCCTGATACAAATATATATCAAAATATCCTGACACTTTTTTTCCCAACTTCAAAACTACACACGAACTTGATAAAGCTTACCTAAGAAGGGAAATTAATAATCAAGAAAACAATAATACATAAGAGCTGTAATGCAACTAATAAAGTTCAAAATTTTTAAAATGAAGTTTTAAGTTACATCAGCATAGTTTAATTTTTGAAATTTTGTTAAAATGCTTTAGAATAATGACCTGTAATAGCACTATTGTAACAATCAATAAACATAAAAAATACGATTTCATATAATACTCCCTATAGTTTGGGTCAATTATTCAGGACAATATTAATCAAATTTAGCATGGTAGTCCTTCAGTTTTCAATTTCCACTTGATCATCTACCTCCAACTTCGCCTATCCATAGGAACTGTGCAGGCTCGTTTGACTCCAAAGGCTATGGACTCACTAGGTCTTATAGCCCACCAACGCCCACTTACATTTTTGTGCACCCGTGCAAAGCCCCAATATATCACTCCTTGGGATGTCAAAACCTTCGAATCCCACTCAAAGGCATCCCCCAAGTATGATACCTCAAATCCGAAAGTATTCTACTTTGTAGGAACTGGAGGGAACCCATGTCAAGATATCACCAATAATAGGATCCTGCTAATGAAATGACCATTTTTACACTAGACAAGATTTAAAATCATGCAATCAGACACCAAGGCATTTTTATTTTGTTAGACGAGAAATAAACTCAAGGCGTTTTGAAGCGCCAGCCTTAAAATTAAATCATTATATTAATTCAAATATAAAAACTAATTTATTTAAGAGTCATCCTTCTTAGGACTCAATAGTAAGTAATTTCATAAAAATTTGAGCTCGATTTTCTCCCAATAAAATATTTGAGAGTCATCCAAAACTATTGAAGTAACATCATGAAAAGTGCAAAAACTAGATAATAAGCAAGAAGTTTAAGATATACAAATAAACATAAAAATAAAGTCTAAAATGATAAACTAATCCTAAAATAAATTAGTTATAACTTAGTACTCCAAATTCAAAGACTCTACCACTTCCATCACAGAGAGCCTTCATTGGAATAAGCATTGTAGGAACTTGCTTTCTCTCCTCTCTCATCCTCACTTGTATTAATACCCTCTTAATTTCTTCATCATCTTCAATATCGAACAATTTTTTCTTTCCTAATCAATAAAATCCAATAAGAATATTTTTTCTTCTTAAAATTATATTACATAGGACTTTATACTAACATTTTTTTGTTGACTTTTGTTATTATAATTCCTTCATCAAAAGAAGTCAACATTGAAATCTTCCTGTTGTATTGTGATGGTGAAACTCCATTCATAATCCACAACCCATTCATCATTTGCTCATCATCCTCCAAGACTTTCATGCATATAATGAAATAGAGGAATATGTTTCATTATATATTCCTCAAGGTACGCATTATCGCATGCAACAAACAATTGAGGCATACAACTCTCTCCCACTGGGGCATAAGCCACAAGGTGGCTTGCAATTTTAAACAATGATGCTCAATCAATTATTGATCAATTCTGGGCCGTCCAATCAACTAAAATATACCTAGGTATTTTATTAAAGTTTTTACCAAGGTAAGTAAAACACTAGTAATTTACTCAAACTATGTTAAAATAATAATGGTTCAAACGCAATCATGAAAACATTATCAGGGTTTAAAACCATTAAGATTTCAAGTTCCTTGCTTATTTAAAAAGTTGAAACCTGAATGTTAACTTGAAAAACAATTATCCTTGGAATGAGCCAAACTACGAGGGGATTGGGCTTTAGTGTTGTATACAAAGAAGCATTGACCAGACCAATGCTCATGTCTAATCAGGATACATATGCAGAGGTTTATTTTTTGATGAGATAACACCATGAATTTTTTCAAAATGCATTTCATATAATACAACAACAACATCAAGCCTTTATCCCACTACGTGGGGGTCAACTAGATGAATCCTTTTTCTCCATTGTAACCGGCTAAGAGTCAAATTCTCATTTAGATCTAATAAAGAAAGGTCATTTATAATATTTTCTAACCAAGTTTTTTAGGTCTACCTCTACCTTTCTTAACATAGGTTAAATCTAATACATCTACTCTTCTAACCGGGTCATCGGAAGGCCGTCGTTTTATGTGACCAAACCATCTAAGACGACTCTCTCTAATCTTATCTGCACTAGAGCTACTCCAACCTTTTCACGTATATGCTCATTTTGTATCCCGTCTCTAAGAGTAAAGCCACGCATCCACCTGAGCATCCTCATCTCTGCAACACTTAAATTAATATTATGCTACTCTTTTAATGGCCAAAATTTTGTGCCATAAAGCATTGCTTTTCATATAATGTTAGCTTAAAATCTGTTTACAAAATAGAATACAAGTGTCTAGCCAAAAAAGGATTCTAGTTTGATATTCACAAGAGTTATCGGGCAAAGAACAATGCACAGCTACAGTTATTGAAAAACTGAAACAACAAAAACTCTACAACACCCATAATACCAACTATCCTGCACAGCAGACAATACATATAATATAATAGAAAGAAGAATTAGGTGGAAGATGTGTAGGGAGATAAACGCATAAATCAATAAACATGGGTCGGGTATGACAAAAAGCTCAAACAAAAACATTTATGAACGACAAAAAGTAAATTGGTATATCCATGATAAGTCTTTGGGCATGTAAAAAATGGATTGTGGAGGGAAAAAAAAGCAGTTCTGTATATTGTTTCTAGTATAATTGTCAGATAAAAAAAATAGTATAATTGTCAGATCAACCCATCAACCTTCATAGCACTAGCATCATCCTTAAGAGCAACAATAGCATTTATTGTCAAAATAAAAAGTGGAAATAAAATATTTTATTGCGCGCTTCACAGGAAAAAAAATATGTCCAATATCAAGTAAGAATATCAAGAAGGTTAGATACAACAACATCATCATTTTTATAACAGCAATTGCAAATAACTTAAGTTGATCAATAAAACAAAAGAAAGTAGAACCTAGGACCATATAAAATAAAATAACAAAATTGCCAAAAGAGGAACCTAAAATTTACATAGTCGTTTAAAAAAATATATTTAATGAGGAAAAAATCAAAATAAATTGATAAATAACATTTGATTTACTGCCTACTTGTTATGTTAGGTGCACATTCAACTCGTTTATTGTGGAACAGTCATAAGGTTTCTTGAAAGTGTCAATTAGACCAATAAAAGAGGGATTCAATTTGCCAGATTGTTTCAATTCTAATATATTCACTTATAAAAATAAATTCAAAGCTCAAAAACTATGCTAAAAGTAATGGTAATAAAAACAGTACCAATCTAAACTAATTTTCCCTCTTTCACAGTTAACATAAGCCGGCTGTAAATGAAAAAATACTGCTTCCAAAATTGATGGTAAAAGTTATCAATTTTAATGTAGAATTAATTGTACTGCCCGATAATTATGAACATCCAATGATTGCTTTCCAAGGTATGGAAGTTTAATTTCCCACCAGGAGTATCAATTGAATATGCTCCGCCTTTCAAGTTGAAGTGACTTGCCAGTTCCATATCTATCCAACAGCTCTAGTAGGTCTTAAAACAGCATTGTATCCAAACACGACTAGTTCAACAGATACATCAAACTAAAAGATTTTGCAAGAAAAATAACTTCAGACTTTTATCATGAACAATCAAACACAGCAGGCCCATGGGCCTGTTCGGCAGAGGATTTTTGAGTTGACTCTAGATTTAACCCAAAAAGCTTATTTCAACTAAACCTCTCCTTGGGTAAACTTAAGCCCAGGTTAGAACTTAACCACTCAATCCACGTAGAGCTGACCACCCTCAAGATTAAGGTTAACCCAACACTCAAGTTCACCTAATTTGAAACTTACACTATTTATCATTCTGGATAAGGATCAATTTTTTTCACTTGGGCCAAATCAAAACAACTTGATTTGATTACATTTGACATGTTTGGGTTGAGATTAGGTTAAATGTATTGTAGTTGAAGTCAAAACCACATTTCTAACACATTTTAACTCTTCCTTTAGGCCATCAACCATCACTCTCTCCCTTTTCTTCGATAAACACAAGAGACCTCTTATCTCCACCAAGGCAAGGTCGAACCCTCCTTTATTCAAACACAATAACTGAACCTCAAGAGAAGGATTCAAGTGAGTCTATTTTATGCAAACCCTCAACGGTATGGATAATGTGTTGTAACGGTAGCAGATCTCAGTTTTTACGAAGTTGGTTGAAACAGCCTTTGCCATTCACCACAACATTTTAGATCCTTAACACCTTATTAATGTATTTTGCCTTGATAATTTGAAAATAGATAAAATTTTGAAAGCATTTGCCTATATGACTACAAAAAATAGCTAACAAAAAACTAACTGCCACTACAACAACAACAACAAGCCTTTATCCCACTACGTGGGGTCGGCTATATGAATCCTTTTTCTCCATTGTGTCCTATTAAAAGTCAAATTCTCGTTTAAATCTAATAAAGAAAGGTCATTCCTAATATTTTCTAACCAAGTCTTTTTAGGTCTACCCCTACCTTTCTTAACACAAGAAAAACAGTGGATTCGGAGAGAAAACGAAGGAGAAAACGTAAGAGAAACAAAGCAAACACTTTTATTTAATGAGAAATGAAAAGCACTTGCAAGATACAACTTTCCTTCAATTCGAGAGGAAGGAAAAACTCTCCAAATCTCTAGCCGTAGCCTAGAGCCCAAGAACACAAACCCTAGATCTCAAAAATGATTCAAATTCAAGATAACCCTCTCTTCCCCCTATTCCTCCTAATTAAACATGAAAGGAGGATTACAATTTACCTAATTACCCTTCTCATTCAAAAATTCCCTCCCAAAACTCAAAATACAACAAGTGGGCCCCCCTAGGGGTTTCCGCCCAGCTCCTGGCTGGGTTTCTTCCGCCGGGAGTAAGCCTTGACCGGTCCAGGGTGGACCAGTCCAGCCGGCCCAGGATGGGCCGGCGTAACATTTTACTATTATGAGTTTTTCCCTTTGATACTCCAAGCACATCTTTTGCAATATTCTTAATATCACTAGCCACTTTTTCCCACATAATATTAGCATCCTCATGCACAGACAAAATCTTAATATCTAAAATCTTACTCTCAAAAATATTTTTATTAATATTCTTTAAATGCCCCCATCTAATCTTAGAAAAACGTTTTACTTTATTTTTTATTTTATGCCCCTTTATCTTAAAGTCCAAAACTAATAATCGATGTTGAGTACATAAATTTTCTCTCGGAATAACTTTACAATCTTTACAATTTAAACGATTTAATTTTCTAATAAGAAAATAGTCAATCTGGGTTGTACTATTCAATTTTCTAAGAAAATAGTCACTCGGAAAACTAACTACCACTAAAATAAATAAAACAAACCAAATCTAAGCAGAATCCAAAAAAAGTGAGCATTGTTATAATAGCATTTCGGCAATAACCTCATGAAGTGTTAATATTACTAGCAAAGGCTTTTTTGAATGATGATTATACCATAAATATGAAAGAATTAGTGTATATTATGATGGAACTACAAAAATATTGATGGGTTTATCTCTTCCTAATCTCTCTCTTCTTCCAATATTTCTCTCTCCTCCCAAAATTGCTAGTGTCAATACAGTAGATAGTCCTTCTTGCTTCTCATAAACTCGTCTCTTCAATTTCCATCCATTTAAAGAAAAATCAAGCCAATTCAATGAAAGAAGAAGAATATCAAGATAAAGCGACAATGGTTTATCATCACATTAGTATCGAATAAACTATTCTTCTCCATCACTATTCTTATAAAGATAAACAACAAAATGGTTAAAAGATTCGAAAGCATGTGTAGGCACAAAAAAATGAGCAGATAAAGTGAAGAAATAATAAAAAAATTAGGTTTTTGATAAATAGTTTAGTATGTAGGGGTTCAACTCTTACCCATGTTGAGTGGTTTCAGAAAAAGAATAACAAAACATAAAGGAAACCAAAGCACGACAACAAGATTGATGAAAAGACAATTAGGAGACTGCAAATTTTGAGTTCGGGGTGTCATTACAGTTTTATATATGAAATGGTGATAGAGGGCAGTAGTCTTGGAAAGATAATGTTGATTGGTGTTCCACACAGGGAAACATGAAAGCATGATCTTGCTCAGGTTGAGTAAAAAATTTGTATGACAACCAGCATCTAATACTAGGCTTCATAGAAAATCACTCCTTTTGTCTTACTGAAGATGTAATAAAATTTAAAACATAATCCTAAAGCCTATGACAAATAGAGGCTACAAAATTGACTGCAGTGGTCACATGGTTTAATATTTTCAAATGGGTTACAGAAACCAAAAACCTTAACAACAACAACAACATCAAGCCTTTGTCCCACTACGTGGGGTCGACTACATGAATCCTTTTTTGCCATTGTGTCCTTTTAAAAGTCAAATTCTCATTAAAATCTAATAAAGAAAGATCATTTCTAATATTTTCTAATCAAGTCTTTTTAGGTCTACCTCTACCTTTCTTAACATAAGTCAAATTTAATACCTCAACTTTCCTAACCGGGTCATCGGAAGGCCTCCGTTTAATGTGACCAAACCATCTAAGGCGACCCTCTCTAAGCTTATCTTCCACTGGAGCTACTCCAACCTTTTCACGTATATGCTCTTTCGTATCCTATTTCTAAGGGTAAAGCCATTCATCCACCTAAGCATCCTTATCTCTGCAACACTTAACTTAGTATTATACTTCTCTTTTAATGGCCAACATTTGGCACCATAGAGCATTGCATGTCTCACCACCATCTTATAGAATTTTCCCTTAAGTTTGAGGGGGGATTTTCTATCGCACAACAAGCCCGATGCATTCCTCCACTTCAAACATCCAACTTGAATTCTGATGATAATATCCCCATCTATTTCACCATCACTCTGAACAATAGATCCAAGATATCTAAAACGTGTACTCTTATTAATGACTTGATCGCCCAAAGCCACAATTCCCTGACTAATCTATTGCTACTAAAATTACACTCTATATATTCAGTTTTAGATCTACTCAAGCGAAAACCTTTAGACTCTAAGGTTGACCTCCATAATTCGAGTTTACATTCGACTCCCTCTCTAGCCTTATCAACAAGAACAATATCATCAGCAAAGAGCATACACCAAGGTACATCCTCTTGCAAATGTCTAAAATAATAATATAATCAAAGTTTTATCATCTGCTAATGGAGCCATCATCATCATGAATTTCACCTTAAGAAGTGATGCATCAAATACATTCTGCAAACACATTAACAAATAGCATTCATATCAGTCCAAATTGATTTTGTACATTTTAATATAGACGAATAATATAATTGAATTGCTTAACGAAAGAGCCACAGAAAATAAAGCCTTCTCCGAGTAAAATGGTTGAATATAGCCGCTTAAGTCCACAAAAAAAATTAGTTGTACTTTCATGTGTATATCCATCTGCCGGTAGCTCTCAGTAGAAAAGAGTGTATGCACTCACTTGTGCAACCGTTATAGCATATCAGCTAGAATTACAAAACATTTCAATTATAAAACTGTTCTATTTGCAGAATTTATCTCATACGTATTCTATAGGCCAAGTATTAAATATTGTAGTTAGTGTGCGTTAATGAAGGAGACATATCCTTCGTTAGCTAAAATTCACCAATACTTCAACGATAGAAAAAAATTAAAGCCAGGCCTTCTAATTTAAGATCAAAACGAGCGGCCAAAGTCAAAGAGCGCATAAATCTGGCTGACAAATGTAAGGGATAAATGTAAGAGGAGGAACCTTTGCTAACAAATCTAGGTTCTCAGCCCTAGGCTGCCTCTCATATCCCGGTGGCGGAAATGGAAAGCAACGAGACATTGCACGGTGACCCTCGATCTACTCCTACTAGTATCCAGCACAGCTGTTCCAGTACAAAAACGGACCAGCAGCCTTGTTCTTGTCCATCCACCATGTCCTCTCACTCATTTCCAGCTTCAGAACATTTTTATTTCGTCTCAGGGAATCACAGCTAGAACAAAAGCCTCCTCCCCAAGCGAAACCAAGCGGACAGATGAGAAAGAGATCAATTCAGCCCCAAAAAAAACAGCTGTATCTCAATAATTAGAGAGAGTCCATGTGCTCGGTAAGGTATCATTCCATACAAAATCCAGTATCTGGCTACCCCCAAAACGCTTCTCAAAACACCATAAACAAGGAAAACACCAACATAACAAAACTCAACAGCAGCAGAGTACAAATCACAGCTACACTCCTGTAAAATCTAGTCCGCCGTCCTATTCGATGCCTCCACAAAAATCCCTATCATCAAGCAAAAACCAAGTCCCAAAACCAACAAATAAGACAATATCTCCAACAAGAAAAGCGGATCCCAGCCAGGCCTGCCAGAAACCCTCTTGATCCGCCCCCCCCAAAGGACCAAAACCAAGAGGAGAAACCCTAATCAAGTACAATCTGCCAGAAAGGCGAAATAACTCCCAATAATCATCCAGTTCTGTGAAAAGAGATCCGAAGGTTCCGATTCTAGCAATGGTGTCAACAAGGAATGGTTAAAGAGAAAGGCAGTGATCAGGATTAGGGCAAGAGAGAAAATAACTCCAATCCAGATATCTGCCTCTTCTTTCTCTATCTGATAACTCTAGACCTTTATCTGTTTATACATGTGTTCGTTTCAGCCGAATTTCTCGGTTGATTCGTCGTGCAAGTCCTTCCAAGTCCTCGAAGATGAGATGCTTGCGGCGCCCTTCTATCTCTCACACACATAGGAATAGAACCAGCGAGGAGAGAGAGCAGGCAAGGGTGGGCAGATGGGTATTTATAGAACAAGTAAGGTTAGAAACGGTAATTTATTCCGGACTTCAGGAAGGACATTATTAAGGGTTTTTTTTTCTTAAACAATTTTTTTATAATAAAATTTTTAATTTGTATATTAAAAAAATATTTTTAAAATATTTAAAAAAACTGTCCCAAATGAAACCTAGATCTTGAAAATATTGCTATATATACTTTTTGATAAAAGGTTAAAAATATTTGATTTGTTGACGATTTTAAAAAATAATAAGTTTAGATAATCGTATTATTATATTAAACAATTTTTTTAATCAAGAATTTATTTGAGATAGCTTTTTTTGTTATTTTACTTTTCAAACAATAATTATAATGTTATTTTTCTATTGATTTATTTTTTTTAAGAAAAAAATTTGATGAAAATTATTTTTTGTAACTAAAATAGTTGAGTTATTTTTCTCATAGCAATTTCACTACAAATTTTATAAAATGGAGTTGTCAACAACAAACCCTTTTTTTGAAAGTAAATAAATCGAACCAAAAAATAAATAAATAAGTGAAGAAAAAACACCATAATTTACATTGAAACCCCAAAAATGTGAAAAAACATGGAGCCACATACACCAAAAAATAACCTATGAAATTAGGAGAAATTGTATAAATAGTCTTCTTTTCTTACCAATTTTCATAGCCTTCACACCCTTTCATATGCTAGAGTATAATCACTATTCAGTTACATGATACTAAAAGAAAAAGAAATTGACTCAACCAACCCGCAGTGCCACGACACTGCTCATAGCACCCTAGTGATGGGTTTTGTTTCACTGTGGGTCCACAACGCCCCAGTGATGAGTTATTTATCTTAGAGGGGGTCCACATCACCACAATGTTATGTCTATAACACCTCAATACTAAGTCCACAATGCTTCAAAGGTGCACACACAAAATTTTAGAGGCTTCACGTACATACCTCTAAGCAATGGGCACACTACCCCTCGAAGATCCCCAAATGAGATCCTTGCAATCTTAATTATCAATTTGAGTCAACAGTATAACCCAATTGATTGACACGACCAAATTACACAAATAACTAATAATCTCCTACTTAGAAACTAATTGTGATCAATCATTCTACTGACCTGCAACACCAACCATATAAGAAAAATTATTGTGTGGCTCATCCCTTTCTTAACCTTTATAAAGACCAACTTAAGTTAAATATAGCTTCAATATATCAACTGTCACTATCTTCGTCAACATATATGGAGGATTTTGAGTCGCATATATCTTCTCCAAAGTTAATTGACCATTTAATAGAAGTGAATATATGAAATGATATCAAGGTTGTATAAGGAATGCTTTTTTTTTTTTTTTACTGAATGCATAACACTCATATTGTCACTCTATAATTTATCCTTCTTCTGCCCTTTGCCAAGTTCTACCATAAAGTTTTACAGCTACATTATTTTCTTGCTAGTCGATGAAAGCAATATATTTAGCTTTATTAGATAGCTCACTTAATAAATAAATGTCTGCCACGTGTATTATTTTGACTGGTGTTATACTTGTATTTATCTCTATATATAGCCTGTTACTGTAGATGGAAATTAATGAAAATATACAGTTCTCTTTACTGGCTTCTGCTTTTCTTCTGTTTTCCCGACTTCTTATTTCAAGAAGTTCTTCATGGTATCAGATGACCTAGTCTCCGATCCTTGACTTCTATGGCGTCTGCTTCCTCCGATCTTGGTTCTCCCATGGAAACCATCAGTCAAGAATCCTCCATCATTCCGTCTACTCTCAAGTTTGTAGTCTCGAACATCAAAAATATTGTTCCGACTCAGCTCTCGCAGGACAACTATTCCGTCTGGCGTTCTCAAATTCTGAAAATTTTTCGAGCCAATAGGTTTGATACTTTTCTTGACAAAAACTGTTCTTCTCCTAATCCCTCTATCGTGCTTGCTGACGGCTCTTCACAGCCGAATCCTTCTTTCTTGCAATGGCAGTTGACTGACCAAAATCTTGCTGCTTCTTTATGTTCCACGATTTCCTCCTCTATTCTTCCTTACGTCGTGAATCTTGATTCCACTTCAGACATTTGGTCGATGCTTGAAAATCGGTTTCAAGCAACCAATCGATCCAAAGTCATTCAACTAAAAAATTCTCTTCACAACATTTCCTTCAAAAACATGAATATGACCCAATATCTTTCTGAAATCAAAAGCCTGGTTGATCAAATTGCTTCTGTCGGGGCTGTTGTTGACAATGAGGATATCATTTTGTATATTCTGAATGGTTTACCTAATACCTATCAATCTTTTAAAACTTCTATCCGAACTATGCTTACCCCCATAAGTCTCGAGCAATTATATCCTCTTCTTCTTAGTGAAGAAATAAATATCGCGTCTGATACGGCCAGATTCACTCCTGTACCTGATCCGAACTTGGCTCTATACTCCTCGGTTCATTCATTTCTTACAAGTGCTTCAAATCTAATCTTGTTCTTCGTTGTTTTTCTAACGCAGATTGGGCCGGTGACCCGGATTCGCGTCGCTCTACATCTGGTTATTGCTCTTTCTTGGGTGATTCACTTATTTCATGGACTGTCAAGAAGCAACCAACAGTCGCCCGGTCCTCCACTGATCAGTCAAAATACCGAGCATTGGCGGCCCTCACTTCAGATGTCATTTGGCTTCGTCGTCTTCTCATCGACTTTGGCATTTCTCAAAACCAACCGACTACCATGTATTGCGATAATACATATGCCATAGCTTTAGCCAATAACCCGGTGTTCCACGCTCTCACCAAGCACATAGAGATTGATCAAAAGTTCATTCGGGATCACATTCAAAACAAAAATATTAATCTTCTACCTATTAGCACAATTGATCAAATTGCAGATATCTTTACCAAGTCGCTATCTACTCCAAGATTTACTACCTTAAGAAACAAACTGACGGTGCAATCTCACCAATCAGTTTGCAAGGGCATATTAGATAGCTCACTTAATAAATAAATGTCTGCCACGTGTATTATTTTGACTGGTGTTATACTTGTATTTATCTCTATATAGCCTGTTACTGTAGATGGAAATTAATGAAAATATACATTTCTCTTTACTGGCTTCTGCTTTTCTTCTGTTTTCCCGACTTCTTATTTCAAGAAGTTCTTCAAGCTTTTGTGGCTGAAAGAGTAAAAAACTTTAGTAATTTGAAATCCAACTCATTACAGTGTTTTTTAAAGAAAAGATATAATCAGTTAGGGGTGTCAATTCGGGTCAATGGGTCGGGTTCGTGTCGAACCCGGAACTGACCCGATCCTATTTGACATGACCCCAACCCAACCCATTTTTGCAAACGGGTCAGAAACTGCAACCCAGACACGACCCGACGGGTTGCCGGGTTGACACAAACCGACACGGAAACTGCTGAGCTTGTGGGAATGCGCAACGATATGGATGGCGCCGTGTGATGCGAGCATCGCGAGGCTGAGGAGAACAACGACCAGGTGCCCGCGTGCCATGTTGCCTAGTGCAGCCCGACCGAGGAGACGAGGCACTGCCGCGTTGCCTCTTGCGGGCGTGCCTACGTGCCGCATGCTGCGTGGACCTGAAGGCGACCATGCCCAGAAAATGGCATAGCGTGACCAGTGCCCGCGTGTGGAGATGGTGTGGCGTGACCGCGTCCGCGTGAGGTGCGACTGCGGGCTTGTGGCAAAGGCTTCCGGACCTGTACCCGGGTCAATTTCGGGTTTCCGGGTCAACCCGAACTCGACCCATTTTTTCAAACTGGTCAAAAAACTGAACCTGAACCTGACCCATTTTACAAACGGGTTGACCCGAATCCTAATTTTTTCTGGTCAAGTCCGAGTCAGGTTTCGGGTCGTGTCAATTTTTGACAGCCCTATATTGAAACTGATGTAACATGAAATAACATATGACAAGAATACTAATAAACATTAATAGATGTGTGGGTATATAACACATTGATAATTATATTGATATGATATACTAACAAATAGCTATACATAAAATAACAGTTGATAGAAGCGTATAGTATAACTATCAATATAAATATAATTCATAGATAATTGATGCTTGTTTGATTGTACAACACATGCTATTGATTTATAATTTTTTTATTAATTATCTTATAAATTGATAAACTATTTCTGCTTATTGAGATAATATTATTTTACTGATCATATTGATTTCTACATTTGATTGGTATTGATTGCATAGATTATTTATCATTCATATTGATAGTTTATTAACTGATTGGAATGCGAACATATACATATTCATTCTTTTATCTTGTATTGAATATAATGGTAGATTTTGATAAACCGCTGAGTTTTTTAAACACGTAATTTGATTTTTATTATTTTCAAGTTTGGGAAGAGGTTAGAATCCTATAAAGTGAGGCTTATCAGTATTTTTAAGTTTTATTTTATTTTTGTATTTTAATTATTTTTTATTGTCATGAGCTTTAAAAGTATATTTTAATATTTGATGTGATTTACTAGCTATTGTAAATTAAATTTTAAAGGAATGAATATAGAAATATTTTAATGCATATGATTTATAATTATTTTCAATGGATATATTTTTATTGAAGGATATTTAAAGGCTTTAGCAAATTAATTAAGAGATAAAACATATAGTTATTCTAAATTTAGATCTTAAGGTGTTGCAGTTGGTATTAGAGCAGTAATTATTGAAAGAATTAAATTGTAATCAGGGTCATATGATTGATTATGAGTGGGGTAGAAGTTGGGTTGTATAGATTTTACTATTTATATATTTAATTGATTTCTTTGTATTTATATACATATATTGAGTTTATATGCTTGATTGATTAAAAAAGAAAATTATATTAGTGGACAAATGAACCTCACTAAGTAAAATGTACAAATGAACAAAGGGTAGTAGTAACTCTAGTGTCTTCTGATAGTGTGTTACAACTAGCCAATATGGTTGCTAAGATTGTAAGTGATAATAAATATAGATAATCAGAGGTAAGGGACTGCAATGAAGATAAACACTTACAAATGTTTCATAAGTTGAAGTCATCATTATTTAAAGGTGTTGTAGAACTATAAGTAGTAAAAGTCTAGTTGTTAAGAATAGGAAAAAAAATAACAACATATAGTGCGCTTAGAGCAAGAAATTGTTACTAGCATTATTCTTGTTTGAGGGTGAAGCAAAAAGATGATGGATATGATAGTAACGAAAGAAATTCTAGAGAAGGATGAACGCAAAGATTATTTGGAAAGAGTTTATTACTATTTTTAGGAACATGTTCAAACCTCCATCAGCACGATAGAAAATGTAAGAGGCCAAGATGAAAAGACAGTGATGTAGTATGAAGTAGAGTTTACTCTACTAGTCAGGTATGCCCGACATGTAATTAGTACAACGAAAGAGAAATGTTATAGATTTATGAGAGGATTAAAAGATAAATCGAGACACGTACTAGTACCATTAAGAATTCTAAGTTTTTAGAATTGGTTGAGAGAGCATAGTAGAGAATGATTTAGCTATACCACTGTTCAAATAGGGCATGATGAGAAAAAAGATAGTTAAAGAATTCAATACAAGCAAGTTGGAAACTTCTCAAAAAAACATGAAGGTGATGGATGATAGGATACCCAAGTGTCCTAGATGTTGAAAGAGAAATATTGGGTAGTATTTTCTAATCATGGGATAATGCTTTAGATGTGGACAATGAGAGCATTAATGGATGGTTAATGGCCTACAACAAAGACTGGGAGAAGGATTTGTATTGATAGCAAAACAATAAAGACAAGCCTATAGACAAAGGATAACTGGTTCTAGATGTACGATTAAGGATTAGTGAATAAGACTAAAGCTTCTGAGAATAGAATAAATAGGAGAGGTGTGAGTGGGAGTCAGAGAGATCCTACTCATTTTGCCATGATAGTCTAAGTACAATCAAGAGTCTAAAATTTTGAACAACAAGATAATAGGGATTTGTCTATGAGATCCACTGGTACAATTAATTATCCAAAAAAGTTATTTTATTTAATATTGATTGATACTTAATGCATAATTAATTAATACCATTGCATAATATATTGAATGCATGCATAGATGGGTGGGTGATTTTTATACGATTGATGGATTAATAATTAGTACTTTATTTAATTTGCTAATAATTGTATTGATTTATTTTTTATTTGATTTTATCATTGATTTATTTTTATTGAAATAATTTTATTATGCTTTATTCTTATTTTTGTCTTGTTTGTATAACGATAGTGGAATGTCGGTGATGACATTTTTCTAAGATGGGGAGTGTAATAACTCAAAATTTTTTTAAATAATTTTATTTGAAAAATATGAAAATTTGGATTGCGGCGTTGTACTGGCCAACACAGCGGCACCAGGAAGTGTTACCACAAAATTGAAGCCTCTATTCTACAATAAGTACTACACAATAATGTTGGGATTCATGACCTCGTGGCACTAGGAATTGAATTATATTTTTAAAATACTTAATATTAAATATTCCTCACCACACCATATGTATCCCCCCATTTTGTTCAACTTGTTGTGGAAGAAGGGAGATGAAAAGGAGAGGGGAGGAGATAGGTTTCTTGGGGCATTTCATCTGTTGATTCTATTTCAAGATTTCTTCTTATCATGATAGGTATGATTTCTAGTATTTTATTCTTCCTAAACTTGATAAAAATGTATTTTCTATTAATTTATTAAACTATAATTGTCTAATTCTTAGTATCTGATAGATATGAGTTTTATGAGCATTTTGATATTAATTTTATTGAATTTCACTAAGTAAATTAATAGTTATTATTTTTTTAAGTTAATGAATAATATATAGATTGTCATGCATTACATAGAATATAGTAGGTTATTGTACTTCATATATGATATCAAATGACATAAATGAAATGATATGATTGATACATGATGATATTATAAGTAAAATACATGTTGGCTATTAAAATAATAAATCCTATTATGAGGGTTGGTCAATGAATTTTTCTTAAAAAATAGAGATTTGTGGTATAATCTTTGATGTTATCATGTAGTTAATTGATTGGTTACATTGTTGGGTGGAGAGTGACAAATCTTTATTGGTTTATTGAAAGTCAACTATTAAAGTAAATAATTGAAAGATGTGATAGATCAATAATGATGAACCGATTGAATTGATGGAAGCATGAAAATATCATATTAAAGCTAGATGTCCTGCCATGTTATTAATAATTATATTTACTGTCATTTGCATGATATCACATATAAGATTGATTGAAATATTGAGATTAATGTAGCATAACATAACATATGATATGTATACATTAACATTAATAGACGTACGAGTATATAACACATTGATGAACATATTGATATGGCACACTAACAAACATTTATACATGACATAATAATTGATAGAAAAATATAGTAGAACTATCATCATTAATCTAACTAATAGATAATTGATGCTTGTTTTATTGTACATCACATGTTATTGACTTATATATTTTTTACTAATTTTATGAGATATTGATAAACTCGTTCTGCTTATTGAGATACTTTTATTTTAATGATCATATTGGTTTCTACTTGTGATTGATATTGATTACATAAATTAATCCTTGAACCACATAAATCAATCACCATGACTTCTTATAACTCCCAATCAATATTCAACTTCTTATGACTCCTAATTATTAAATCACATAGATCAATAGGGTATTACGTGAATTTATCATATCATATATGATATCATTCAGTATTTTATTTAAAATGCAATAAAATCATATCAAATTGTTCATAATGTTTAAATCTATAACATATCCAAACTTATATGGTGAAATCTTATGAAATTAGAAAATAATGCATTTTTTGACAGATTTTGAAGAGATAAAATTCATAGATATCAAAATAATTTAAAGCAGAAGTAAACATGAATGGCTGATAAATATGATCCAAAAGTTTTTCTCTCACATCTCTCTTCTTCACCTCTTTCAATTTCTTTCTGGCCAAGCAATCAAGTGAGATTGTGAGGGGATGATATTTATAAATATAGGCCTAGCGCAGCAACACTCACCATATTAGTGCTAAAACACTCTACTTCAAATTTTTTATATTTTTCAAGAAAATTTATTTCATTTATTTGAGTAATTACATAAGAAAATGTCAAAACCTTGTGGAGTAAGGTTGATCAATATTTTTAAGTTTTTTTTTTTTTTTTGTATTTTAATTTATTCTTTTATAGTTATAAATTTTAAAAGGATAGATCATGTTTAATGTGATATGCTAGCTATTGTAAATTGAATTTTGAAATAATGAATATAGAAAAATTTTGATGTATATTATTTATAATTACTTCAACTGAATTTATTTTTTTATTTATATTTAGTGACTCTAGCAAATTAATTAAAAGATAAAATATATAATTCTTTCAAATTTAAATATTAGGGTATTACAACTCCATTCAAATAAATCTCTTTTACTGACAAAACTACCACAATTAGGAATAACTATACATGATCCACCTCTCCTAAAATCTATAGTCCCAAATTTACTCCTCTTCCCAAAAAATTCATAGTTAGAAATATTGCCTCCAAATCTCTTCCTACTTGAATTCCATTATTGCTTAGTAGCTATCATATCACTCAATCATCAGGCTCTCTCTATAAGCTCATAGAAATCAATAATGTGAAACGGAACCAACAGCTATCTCTGATTATCCCGAAGCCCTCTTGAGAATTATATAACACTTCTCTTCAGATGTGTTGATAAGCTGCGGAGCATATAGCAAGCACAGTAAACTCTACCTCATATAACATAACAATCATGCTCCTCTAAACCAGTCATAGAAATATCTCATGTATTTGTTGTCGTGAAGGTGAAGCTACAAACCACGATCTAAAAATATCTTTAACGTCCCTTCACAACTAATTAGGGCATTCAGTTTTCCTTAGTTCTTCTTTTGCTGGCCAAACCATCATCGCTCAGCCTCCCCATTTAATAGACACAACCATGGACACTTTTCTCTTTGAAGGACTCTACATACCCTCAAAAGTTTTCACCAACCTCATAAGCCAATCTTCTGTTACTATGGGCTAAATAACACCCTCAAATCCCCGAGGCTTCAACCTCCAAAACTTATATAAATGTTTATACACATCATCGAACCTCGGAATAAATTATGTTATGGGATTCACCCATCAACTATGCTACTAAACCAAAACTAAGATATCGAATCAGAACTAACAGCATAATCAATACTCTATACTGGCACAATCTGACTATCACTCTACCTATCAGTCATATCTGACTACTAGTAATTCATCAGACAATCACACAAAATGCACACATGTGAATTAAAACATCCACATGAAAATAAATAGAAAAGAATGCCCAATACTACCAAAAACTACCTTACTTCAATTCCTATAGTTCTATTACAATTATTTTCTCCAAATCATTACTCGGATACCAAAAAGGGGCTATCACAACCCAAAACTACATGATATGTTCTATGGGTTCAAATTGAGTTGAGTTGTAACATCACTTATCCTTGATGTTGTAACATGCAAAGCTTCTCTTCTAACTCGCCATAGAGAAAAAGTTGTTCTCACATCCAACCATTCTATATGTAAATCCTTTTTGTTACTATGCTCAACACAACTCTAATTTTTATTGAAAGGGTTCCAATAATTTTAGCTTAATAATTGTAAAAAAAAATTATTAGCATTCTATACTTCTATATAGCTACTTTATTATGATAACAGGATTATTATTTCTCTATATTTACATACAGTTCTATTTTTGCTTGCAACTGATCTTTGTACTTTAGTTTATACACACTGAGCATTTGAATGAATTAATACTTAAAAAGCCAAAGAATTTCCCATTAATACACAAATAGATTGGAAAAAAATAGAAGCAAATGCAAAGAAAGACAAAATAAGAGTTCCTTCCATTAATGTTTTCATCAGCCATCCTCTACAAGTGGTGGATCAAACAGCATTGGCCAGAGATTTACAACAGTAGCTGAAAAAATAATAAGAGTTCACTCATTCTATTTTATGGTATATCAAAAATATATACTAAAGCAAAGCAAAATATAAAAGGATTAAAAAATAAAACAAAGGATTCTATAATAATGCAATGAAAGGTCTGCTACTTCGCCCTATTATGGAGATTGCTGGCATGTTAGCTTGTGACCAAACAAGTCAAAAAGTTCGAGTTCATAAGCTTCTGCTGTGAACACCCAAAAAGATAGAAGAGGCCAAAAGGTGGTTTCATAATGGGAGCTTCCTCAATTTCCCTAAGGCAATTGGCCAAAAGATAACATGTAAGAATCAGCAGAATATCAGATATTATTGTGTTTATTGAGGCTTTGTTTGGGACGGTTTTTTTACTGTTTTCTAAAGCAATTTTTTAGTACAAAATTTTCTTAAACTAAAAAATTTTATACTAAAAAATTGTTTTAAAAAGCCATAAGAAAGCCATCCCAAACAAAGCCTGTTCGTACAAGTTTTTCTGTGGTTTAAAATAAATTAGAAATAATTCAGAACAAATGAAGATGAGAGACAGCTAAAGAAAGATAGCAGTATCCTCCATTGCAATAACAATAACTAGTAAGCACTACTTAAAATTGAGCAATTTGAGACAAGCCTTGAGGCACTGCTCCAATAGTAATAAACCAAGCAGAAAAAAGCAATAGCTTAAGAAATATAATTTACTAACAGAACAACCATGCATCCATCAATCATTATCACCTTTCATTTTTTTACATCGCCACCAAGGTTGCATACATTAAGAGAGAGAATGCTGAAATTCCATATAACTCTTGACAACCAATGCAGTCATATATCAAACCATCACTTCCCAGACTAACAACTTATCCACATGGTTTACATTACCATTTGTTTGCATAAGACTATCATCAAATTGAGGCTTCATTTGGGACGGCTTTCTTACTGCTTCTTAAAGCAATTTTTTAGTACAAAATTTTTTTTACTACTTCTTAAAGCAGCTTTTTTAAACTTTTGTACTAAAAGGCTGTTTTAAGAAGCAGCATGATAGCGAAGCCTGAATCCAGCATAAAAAGTTTCTTCTTAGCAGATCTTTTATTGCAAGCATTCTATTAGGTAGAATTAACACACGAAAACTGGCGCTTCCAAATATCAGGAATTATAGATGAAACTTTTGATCTAGGATCTCATGTTATTTAAAATTATTGAAATAAAATATAACAGAAAAAAAAAACCAGAAAAAGAGAATACAAGAAAATAGCCTGAGAATGGAATGCATCTAAATGTAACCATCATGAAACGCTCAGAAAATTTAATTTATCGTCAATCCTTTAGCTACTCTTTCATTTCTTTACCGTTGGTGAATAAATTCAAATTCTATGCATGACACGTAGGGGCGGAACCCTGTTGTTGCCCCCCCTCAAAAAAAAAAAAAATTTTCCATTATACTCTTATTTAGATAATTTTTAGCCTTTATTACAACGGTTTTTAGGTAATTGCCCCCCCCCCCCTAAAAAAATTAAAATACTATGGTATTTAGGAAATTGCCCCCAATATTATTAAATACATAGTATAGATGTGTTATTGTTAGGGAATGATGAACCAAATACAAAGAGAAATAGTAAATCAAAATTTGTTCCGGGGGCGCTGCCCCCAGAATCCCACGCAGGGGCGCTGTCCCTTGACCCCGCAACCTGATTGGGCAGGTCGAACTCCACCAGGGAGCACTGCGCCCTTGGACCCCCGACATATATGTGAACTATTACTTATATGTTTGCCCCCCCTGAAAATTATAGCTGGTTCCGCCCCTGATGACACGTTAGCTTTTCTGAATGCCAAACTGTCAATAAAGTATTGAAGGACTCATAAAACTTCTACAAAATTGTTTATATAAAGATCACAAAATTTTTCTTGATAATTAATAATGAAACTTGAAAAAATTGCAAGTGATTTCCAAAACAGTTATCATAAAGACTTTCAAAAGCAAATATTGCAAAGAATTACTTGCTGGATGGGACATTTTATTAAAAAGTTGCGCTTTGCAGAAGGGAAATGCTTAGTGTTCCAGAAACCAATTTCCACCAATCTTGATTCCAAGGTTTCTATATAACAAGAGTTCCATTATGACTCATATCAATCTTGAAATGGTTAGTCATCTTCACTAATTCTTTACATATAATTAATAACCATTAAATTAAATTAAGATAAGTAATTTTTCTTCAGGATTAAACAGAGGTCTTAACATTTTATGTTAGCCATTGTTTCAATATATAGCATATTCTATATTAGTATCAAGCAATTTTAATGATAAGTATTCATGATTAAGCCTAGAGATATCTAATGATCATAGTTAGGCTTCTTTTTAACACACCAACACACTCGTTTCCAGTGAACCATTCATTAAAATGGGAAGGATGCCTAATTTAATCCCAGTAAGTAGGAACACCCTACTCGTCTTCCTTCAGCCACAACTGGTGCTAACTAACTATAAGAAAATGATCCAGTTAACATGAAATGGCTAGTCTTCTTACTCCAATTCTTTATAGGTACTAAATAACCATAAAATTAAAATGACAGAATTATTTTTTCTGCAGAATTGAGAAGTGTCTAAAAAGTTTATGATAATCATTGTTACAATATATAACAAAAATATATCCGTATCTGGTAATTATTTAGATGAAAACAAGAAAACATTTATCATTCAAATTAAATGTTGTAGAAAAAGGAATTTAAACTAACATTATGTTTGCAAAATTTGATAAGAAAATGCTCAGAACACAGAAATGTAAAAATGCAACTCAGTTGTAATGAAGCTAGACTGTACTCTGCATAAATTGTGTTTTGAAGTCCTAGATGAATAAAGGTCATAATGTTACCAAGAAAAAATGGAGGCGATAAGAATGTGTGCTGCTTTCTGAAAGTGAACTTCACCAGGCAACTATGAATGAATGATTTGTATTGAGATCGAATAAGAAACCCATAGCTAAGTTCAAATCAAATATTTACTAGTGGTAACAAACAGAAGTGTGACATCAAAGTTACAATCCCTGGAATTAAAAAAACGCACGTACACACACATAGTGATCTCACTCTTACAATCCGTCAAATTAACTCATTCATTATTTCTTCCAAAACATACACCATGCTATACACAAGACAATAAATTGTTCCCAATTTGTATAGCCAACGCATGCGGACTCCTACCAAAAAGGCAATTTCCTCCATATCCAAAGAGCATGTCATATTTACCCTTTTTTATCCTATCTTCCAGGTACAAATGGTATAAAGCAAAACAATCACCGATATTATTAGATTGGGTAAATTTATTCAACTATCAAATCTTATATTCTATAACTCCATCTTTAAGACAAAGGCATTGCATTGCACTGGCTAAATGCTAGTACATGCATATCCAACGTGCAATGGTCAAGTCATGGAAGTATCATATGAACTTGCTTCATTGATGCATATTTGACCCTCTTTTGACGATGTATTTGTAGGATTCACATGCATTAATGTATTTATATGTAACTAAGACATGAACTTTTTCACAGTCCAGGCAAATATTCTTCATTTTGTAAAAAAAAAAAAAACTTGGTCGACCTCTTGCTTCATTATCCAATAAATTTCTAGCATATATTGCATATAGCGATAAGTACAAGGAGATGCAAATTACTTTCTGAATATTACATTTGTTGGAAAGTTCTTCCTACAAAAGCTTCATTATCGTTCAGGTTGCCAAGGTGTAAAGAGCAAGGACATGAGCAAGATGAGGCCTCCTCTAAGTTTTGCTTACTTTCAAAACTTCATAGGTTGCCCAATTTAGAATGCAGCTTCTTAAAATTAATGAATTGCATTTTGACCATTTATTGCTGGTTATAGATAACAGGAAATACTTCAGCAGAGCAAAAAGCTTGAACCAACCATACAAAATGGAATATCGACAAAGCTGTGAAGGTACAATAAGTTGAATCATGCATAAATAGACCCATCATAGTAGAGGAATTGTAAGACATGCACGCATCAATTGAAGATATCATCAAGCCAAACATTAAACACCATCCCCAGCACGCATTTTCCTAGCATATTGGATGAACATAAAAACCATTCAAGTTCACCGGTCATATCATGTACAAAAGATTTCAACATCATCAGTTCTCACCTCTCATTATATGGCTCACTTATGAATGAACTTATTTCCCTAAGCCAAATTAGCAGAATTGTCTCAGGAGCTTCAAGTCCACTCCAATATAAAAGAAATCAAAATAATTCCCAGACTGTTTGCATGTGATTAATTAGTCTCAGAGTATCACATTTCTCCAATTTAGTCACTCAAATATACAAAATTGATTCTAAATGGTCCCCTCGGGCACAAATTGATAGAAATTGTGATATAAAATTTGTCCCAATCTAATCCCTAGACTATACAAAATCTATCTCAATTTAGTCCCTGATGAGCTATTTGGGATAAATTTTGTATGGTTGAGAACTTAAATTGAAGAAATGTGATACTCTTGAGCTAAATTGGTCACATATCAATAGTCAACAAGACAATTTTGAACTTTTTCTCTCACTCAACCGTCAAGACAAAACTTAAACTATTCAAACCATAAAACCCAAATGAAATCACTATCAACAAGCATCAACCTCTTTTCAAGATGAAATGGTCAACCATGAGTTGATATGAGATATGTTTGACTTGAGGACTGTGGAGTTTATCAACTTCCCTTTTTTAATAATTTAAACTTTAAACTAAATATTGCCATTAACTTTCTTCCATAAAAGGTCTACTCTCTTGCCTCATCTTCCCATATTTAATTTGTCGTTCTCTTTAGTAAATTGCTCCACTACAATTTAAAAGTGCCAAATTCGGATTATGCAAACAACCTCTCTGCAAGGCAGGATGAATATGCATGCATAAACCCTTTCCGTAAACCAGACATTGGCAGAAAGCCTCATTCATTGGATACATCCACTTCTTCAACATTATTCTCAGAGAATTATGACCTTAATTCTCCCCTCCAACGTTTTCTCTTGGATATGCTATCTTTATTTATGAGCTTATTTTGATTTCTCGAACACTGAGCCTATTCCTTTATTCTTTATATCACTTATTCTTTCATCCCGCCAAGTTCAGGCAAAGTTTAAAACCACAGCAAATTCATCTTCAGAAATAATCAAGAAAAATGCATTAATAGCATGCCGTCACAATTGTTGAGGTCATAAAATAAATCAAAATCTGACTCAACTCAGTTTGACTGTGCAAGTACCCAAATAAGCCCAAATTGGC